CAATGGAGCAAAGAGAGTTTGATGTGTCATCGTTTAGAGGCCAGTTAGCTCAGGTTCGAATAGTCGACGAGTCTTCAGGTGAATCGGCTGTTGTCAACGTTGATCACATCGAAGACAGTTGTAAATAGTAAAGCATGATATGCTGATATGCCACTAATTTATCATAAACTTTAATTAATGTGTCAAGAAATTTGATAGTCCTTATGTTGTAATCTTCAGGTTGCGCTAGACAATAGTAAAAAATAAAAAAAATAAAATAAAGGAAAAGAAGAAACATTAATTTTTTTAAAAAAAGGGAGAAAAAAATGCTATGGTGTCCATGGGTGACCATCAGAAATAAAAAGAACAGAACAGAAACCACTTTTCTTGAGAAGTTTTCGAATCTGACACCGTTGATTTTTTAGTTTCCAATTAAAGTTCCAGCTAGTTTTGAAGTTGGCACCCTCTTTAAGCGAAAGGTGTAAAATTGTCGTAATGAAAAATTCATTGCGTTCGCCTCTTCGACTACATTTTCCTTTCTTGTCTAAAGTAGTTTATCAACAAGGACCAATCAGGTGCCGTGTTATATATACGCGCGTTGTAATTGGTTGTCTAAAAATAGATTGTCGGGACACCTGATGGAGACGGGATTATCAGCGAGATGGGTATGCACTTCTGGTGACAAAACTATGAAATGCGTTTTGTCTACATCTTTCTTCATCTTTTTCYCCTGTTCTGGCAGACTATATTGCTCTTGAGCTACTTTCACTAYATTGCTACTATAGTAAAGTGTGTTTTCTATCAAATTCAGAAAATGTAATTTGTGACAAACGAGGAACGAGTTTGGGATAAATTAATATTTTGCCGGCACGCGCCCTTATGCACGTGCAAGTGCAGCGTGTTTCCTTAGGGAGAACAGAGTATATAAGTAGGTTATAAGTGTGAGAACGTTGTCTAAGGTCAGCCACGCAACACAAGCCAAGTTCGGTTTTCACAGTCTAGAGATATCCAATATTGACTGCACAAATTTAACGATCGTTGATAATCAAGAGACGGTGATCATGAGACT